CCGCCCAAGAATATTGATATAATTGTAAAATGCAAGGAAATGCATGGCGGGCAGCGCTTGACGCATCACATGACCCCATGGCGTATAGAATAGTGAGTGGAGACAATAGAACCATCAAGCAATAGCAAGCCTCTAGTTTCCTCGTCACTCGCCCACAACTGCTCAATGTACAGTTGTGTAGCTGTGGATCTATACACCTTGTACAAGAAAGGAACCCATTATTTAAATTCCTTCAGATCAACTCCTCTAGTCCCATACAAGGAGCAGTTCTGTAAGTAATACATTTTCGTGAGGCGGAGGTAATGTACTGGCAAGTGGCACGCTTACCACGAGCACGGTCGGGGGGGGGGGGTATAACGCGGATCGGCTCCCGCTCAGGCGAGCTAAGTTAACTATCCTTTGGGGACGGTATATTGATTGTAAATTCGTCCGGAGGGATAAGAACACTGCCTTGTAGATCGGCTGGTCCCCGTCAGTCATTGTATAGGCCAAAAGGCTTCCAAGGATCAGCACCGCTTACAAAGGTAATTCTCAGCCCATCTATCAAGGAGAAAGCGATTGATTCGCGCCGGAGGCTCTATGTTTTATGCTCATCTTCATATAAAATTTAGAGAGAATGCAAAACCTCCTCTGATGAAAAAAGTTGAATTTGAATTCACCTTTTGCGGATTCAATTTTCCGTTTGCGATTTCAAAGAAGTCATTGTCGGAGACAGTCACTGTTACTGTAGCCTTTTCTCCGTTCTTCACGTCACCGTAGTACACCGAAGGAGAGGAACTCTTGAAGTCCAAGGCTAAAGTGTCCTTTATAGTTCAAATCTAAGGGAGTGATGGATTCCCAGAATTCTCAAACCGACTGAATTTTCCGATTTCCTTCTGTCCATCTGTCAAAATGTAGAGAATAATCGCTTTGATATTTTTAACAGTGGCAGGATCCTCCTTAAATGTCGACCGATAACATGACGATTTCGCTTACAGTATTTGAGTGACCTACTTTAACTCCAGCATCCATTTCTTGGAAAAGAGGGGAACACTTTATATGAGACGGGAAGCCTTCAGCTGCCACAGTTTTTTCGCTGTTCTGGTTTTCATTCTATAAGGAAAGGAAATTTATTTACAAGTTATCAATTTAAAGTGGTTTCTTACTTCTGTGAAAACGGTAACTCACTCCCTTGGATTCCACATCTGCAACGACACCCATGAGGTCAGTCATTACTTCGCGCATACCTTCAAAGTGTTTCGCACCAGTCATATCGGTGATCTGAGCCCAGTTCTTCCGGACTGAAACAGAATAATACGAAATATTACTAATTCCATTACGGGTTACAATACTAAAACTGGCAACAATATAAGCCACTAGTGAATCAGAACTTTTTGAGCTATTTTTCGGCTTTGTGGCCATTGAATTTGAAGAGGTTTCTTGCATTTTCTAATCATTAGTGAAAAGGGAAAAACAAGATAATCCGTAATAAACGGCACTACCCAATTATTGCTAGCCCCGAGCCTTGTTCCCTTTGTTTTCATTTCTTTTTTTCTAAAGGAGGGGAATTCGCACCGAGCCAACTTTTAGGGGGGGGGGGATTGGATCGAAATCCCCAACGCATAATGATGGGCCCTGCTACACACTAATGTGGAAAAGTTGACCGCGCAGAATAACGCCGATGCCGAAAACGAATGCTACATTCGTGACCAGGACCAGGACCACAATCGCTGAGTCACTCCTACAGGTTGAACTTCAGCAAAAAATGAGAAGGAAAAAAAAGATGAGGGGAAAGTATTTGTTCCATGCTGCTTTTTCAAAGATGAACGGGACTTTCAAAGTACCAACACAGTAAACGAGGGTTTAATCTTGCTCCCAACGGATTCTGGGGCCTGTCAGGTAAGCTGGGTTTGGCCGGCGCCAGCTGGTTCTCCACCATTTGTTGAATTGGCCAGGCGATGACCACAACTGGGAAAACCGGCTGGCTTCGGGTCAAACCCAGCCCTCTAACACCCTTCAGCATTCGCTGCAAACAAGACTGTGGATCATATGCGAGAGCTTGTAGACAAATTATTTAGGTAGCACTGATAGTGGAGAAACTCACTGTCTTCAGCCGTCGCATGTGGCAGAAGTTTCCCCGCGGATCTGTAGTATTGCACTGGAAAACCACAGTCAATTTACTACTGAGTACTGCAACTGCTCTCGCCTAAACTCACGTGTTCCATACCATCCTGCACCGGCTTCAAATACCTTCCCGCTTTCAGTGAAAGATTCATGACAGAGATTAACCACTAGCGGCGTAACGTACTCGGGCTTGAGAGCCTCGATAAGAGACTAAACGGAAACTGGAGTTAAAAATCACACAATTTTGAAACAGCAAAAAAAAACTGAAAGGTATTTCAAATCTCACTTCAGGTAGCACCGTCTGCGTTAAGCGCGAACCAGCAGTGGGAACTACTGCATTCGAAATAATGTTATACTTGGCTCCTTCTTGAGCCAGTGAATTAGAGAATCCAACGAGAGCCGATTTAGCTGGAAAGAGAAATATTCCGTGGTACGGTTGATCGATCCTCTTCAAGTGGTGAAAGATCAGTGGTAAAGTTCAAGGCTTACCTGCTGCATAGTTTGTTTGCCCAAAGTTTCCATAAATACCGGCATTCGATGAGGTAACAATGATTCTTCCATAATTCTGCTTTCTCATATGAGGCCATGCAGCTTTAGTTACAGAGTATGCTCCCTTCACGTGTACTTTGAAAATGAGGTCTGTAACATTGACTTTCAAAGGATAATCGGCGATCTGTAAAGTCGGATGGACACTTACCCCAGTCGAGATCAGTCATTTTCACAAGCGAGACATCACGTAGAATGCCAGCATTATTAATCACAATATCTGAACAAATACGCCTAATAGTGCACACCAGATTTGACATATATATTAAGTCATTATATTTAAAAATGTGGAAAGATTCATTCAAATGAAATGAAGAGCGAAGCAGATAAAAAGTAATATTTTGGCTCGAAGTTAAACGGCAGAGCGGCGTTCATTTGATGCTCTCACACCCTCTATTGATATCGTAGCACCTCGTGCAAGGATGGAGAATGTACTAATCCCGCAACTCAAAAATACGAGAACAAAATACGAGAAGAAAAGCACTGCTCGCTCTCGAAGAGGTTGCCGCCCCGCCCACCTGACTGCCACAACGGGTAGGTGGGCAGGGCGTCACCCACTTTACGAGCAAGCAAAGCTTTCCTCTCGTATTTTTATGCTGCGAAATTAGTACATTTCAGGCCCTACGATATTCAAAGAAGGTGTGAGAGCATCAAATGAAGGGATGTACCTTTGATGGACACTCTGCTATCAGTGACCCGCTCGCAGTACCCCGGAATTGTTTGGAACACTCGCACCTTTGTTCTTGCTGTTGGTGCGAGTTCCGGTTATCATTGAATCGTAGTAGCGCTTGTCGCTGGACAGTACCATTGACTGACCAGAACAGGTGAAATTGCACTGCTGTAGGTCGGTCGAATAAAGCGATTGAACTCAGGATCCAGTATTCTTTGCCTCTGGGCACTGCCCAATAACTCGGAGCCTGCCACTATGACGAGCAACGGTGGCCTTCTTGTAGTTGTGTGGTAGCATCCATTTGTCGATCTGATTGCCGAGGAACAGGCAATATGCACCGACAGTGACGGATTTGTTCTCTGTCATAG